TGGTTGGAAGGGGTCATAGAGCCCATGGAGAATGGGTAGCAATCAGGCTCGATGCAAGGAAAGGGTAGCTCCAGTTCCTAGGATTTAGAGCGCTACTCCGGCATGGAGGCTCCTCCGCAGAACACAATTTCCCATCTCTAGCGGTAACGTTGCCAAGTTTTCCATATCCTGCGAGTAAATTTTCCTCCCATGGTCGCCCGGTGCTCTGTATTCATGAGGCATATCACTAGACTGAAACTCTCTCTCTCTCTCTCTCTCTCTCTCTCTCTCTCTTCTCTCTCTCTCTCTCTTTTTTTTTTTTTTTTTTTTTTTTTTTTTTTTTTTTTTTTTTTTTTTTTTTTTTTTTTTTTTTTTTTACACATGGTTTGACAAGGTTAAGGATCCCTAGCTTTATTGACAAGCTATTTACAGGTTAAGGATTCCTAACTTTATTGACAAGCTAAGAGCTGTTACCTACATCAGCTCATTTGAAAGCATTTTTATTGTTATGAGACATACAAGTAGGGAACAGGATGAAGTTGGAGCCATCTGTGGGCCAGCATTTTCATTTGATCAACTGACATTATCTCGTTGACATCATTATGCTGAACGAATGTGTTCCATACTCGAGTCATCCTGGGTATGTATGATCTCAGATGGAGTGATGTTCTGGAGAAGGGTACAGCCAGAGTGAAGTTGCTGCTTTCTGCCCGTCTTGTGGCATAAAAGCTTGTTTCGCGCTGTCCTCGAAGTGGATCCAAGTGTGGTATTTTGACAATATTGGCCTTGTACATAACAGTAAGGCCACCCACATCCCTCCTATGTTGAAGGCTCTGCTGAAATGACAGATCCATCCAGGATGGGTCCAGGCGAGAGATGAGACGTCTTGCTCTGTTCTCTACTCTGTCAAGCAGTCGCAGATGAGAGGGGGGACAGGCAAACCAAGAAAGTGGAGCATACTCAAGGTGTGAGCGTACTTGTGCCTCGTACAGTATCTTGCAACCCCTACTGTCAAGCAGATGCGAGATACGGCGAAGTGCTGTAAGCTTCCTGGCTGCCTTGTTTGCAAGATTTACAACATGGTTCTTCATGGTTAGTTTGGAGTCAAATTTCACCCCAAGGATATCAACTTCTTCTCCAGGTGCCAACATCCTCCCATTCATCCTTACTACTGCACCAGCATTACCATCATGGTGCCTAGAGACGATCATCATTTGCGTTTTCTCAGGTGCAAATGTTACTTGCCATCTATTTCCCCAAGCTGATATAGCTCTCAGCTGGTGATTGATGTAGCTTAGAGCAGCTGGCATTTCTTCTCTTGGATAAGTGAATGTCAGGTACAGTCGTCTGCATATGCATGTGATTCTGGGATGAGATGAAGAAGGTCGTTGAAGTAGACATTCCATAACAGTGGACCCAGCACACTTCCTTGTGGAACGCTTGCCCCAATAGGATGTCTTGCTGATTCCGTTCCATTGAGGACTACACTTAGAGATCTACCATGAAGGTAATCACTGAGGAGACATAGCGTAGAGCCTGCAATTCCCAGTGCTTGAAGTTTTGCTAAGAGGCCCTGGTGCCACACCCGGTCGAAAGCGCCAGCAATGTCCAGTGCTACCACACAGCTGACTTTGGATTCATCCAGTGACTGGTGCCACTTAGTGGAGAGGTTTAACAACAGATCAGCAGCAGAGTAACCTTTCCTGAAGCCATATTGTCGATCACAAAGTAGTGAGTGGTAGTCAAAAAAATCTGTCATTTGTCTTGAGATTATTGTCTCAAGGATCTTACCAGTGATTGACAGGAGTGACACTGGTCTGTAGTTGCTGATTTCTGCTCTGCTCTTCTTTTTGTGAACAGGGACTACATTTGCCTCTTTCCATGGAGAGGGCCATTTGCACTGTACTAGGCAGTGCTGAAAGATGCGAGTTAGAGGTGCTGCTAGCTGGTCTGCACATCTTCTCAACAATCTTGGGCTCAACTTGTCTGGGCCCACAGCCTTTTCTTGGTCAAGTGATTTAAGAAGGAAATGCACCTCCTCCTGCCTTATTGTCACCCCTGACAGTTTTGATACAGTTCTTGCAGCTAGCCAAGGAGGGTCCCTTGCTGGATCAGGAACTTGCATTTTGGTAGCAAAGTGTTCAGCAAAGAGGTCCTCTTCTCTTGACTACTAGTAGAGGTGGTCCCATCCTGTCGATTTAGAGGTGGAATAAGTTCATCAGGCAGATAACCTTGTCTGTCCTTGACCAGGGACCACCAGGTTTTGGAGCCTACCCTACCTGATGCTAACTTTCTTTTAGTGTCCAACTCCCATTTAGCAATGGCCCACTTTTGAACATCACCCATATGCCTACAGGCTTGCATGTGCAAGTTCCTGTTATAGGTGGTAGGATGTCTCTTATACCTTCGCCATGCTTTGTACTTAGCAGTAGCAGCCTCTCTACAACGAAAGCCAAACCAAGGCTGATCTGTAGGCTTTGTCACATATTGCCGGTGAGGAATGTGTTCTTTTTGCAGATTAAGGATGTGTCCAGTGAAGGCTTTCACTTGGTTGTCAACATCCCCTGGAGAAGAGCATTCCAGTCGGTGGTGGCGAGCTCAGAGCAAAGGGCTGGCCAATTACCTCTTTCCCATAGCCAGGTTGTGCGTGTGGACTCCTCACCTCGTTCTGTTGGGATCTTAAGTGTGGTAAAAACAGCCTTGTGGTCAGACGATCCACGTACCCGAGGGGTTGACAAGTGACTATGCCTTCTGCCAGATCACTCACTACTGGGTCAAGGGAGGGCCAGAGATATGAGTAGGGAAATCAACAAAGTTTCTCATGTCAAACACTGCAAGAAGGTCATCAAAGTCCCTCTGTATAAGGTGCTGGTTGAGGTCACCAACAATTATAATATGTTGACAGTTGTGTTGTAGCAGAAGGGAGTCAATATTTTCCATTAGGAAGTTGATAGGGTCTGCATGTTGCCACTGAGGTCTGTACATTGCACATGCTAGTACAGAGGTACTAGTGTTTATACAGAGCTTGAAGAACATCATTTCAAGATGTGTAGGGGTGGCAACATCTATGTGCTGGGCATGAACACTTTTAGAGAAGCACACAGCAACACCACCTCCTTGCCCTTGCCTGTCTCTTCTCATCCATGAGTGTAGCCAGCAATTCTTGCAAAATTTTCTGGAGTCCTGTCATCCAAAAATGTTTCAACAACAGCTATCATGTCGGGACGTCGAGTGTTCACAAAGCTATGTGTGAGCTCTCCAACATTAGTAATGAAACCTCTAATGTTGGCCGACAGGATGCTGATAGACTGGCTCCTCATGATGAAGTGGTCAGCTTGAGGTGGTGGGTGTGTAGGGAATGTAAGGTGCCTGCCCTTGAGAGAGGTAGGGTACTGAGGCAGCTGCAGGGATGTAGGTCTGTTGTCTTGTATAAGGCCCAATCCCACCTGCTGGGCTGGGATAGGAGTAGCTGAGTGAGTGACGTGTGAGAGTGTTTACCAATTCAGAGATCCTGCTGGTTTGTTCTGAGAACAGGTCTCTAAACAGGTGGCCCTGTCTGTCAAGTTCCTTTTTCTTCCGACACTGGTCCTCCTTATGTCCTTTCTTGTAGCAGTAGTTACACCTGGTATCTCGCAGGCAGTTGTTGGCAGAGTGCCCCTTCCCTCTCCCTCTCCCTCTCTCTCTCCCTCTCTCCCTCTCTCTCTCTCCCTCTCTCTCTCTCCCTCTCTCTCTCTCTCCCTCTCTCTCTCCCTCTCTCTCTCTCCTCTCTCTCTCTCTCTCTCTCTCTCTCTCTCTCTCTCTCTCTCTCTCTCTCTCTCTCTCTCTCTCTCTCTCTCTCTCTCTCTCTCTCCCTCCCTCCCTCCCTCTTTTTACACAGGGTTTGACAAGGTTAGGTTAAGGATCCCTAGCATTATTGACAGGTTATTTACAAGTTAAGGATTCCTAACTTAATTGACAAGCTAAGAGCTGTTACCTACATCAGCTCATTTGAAAGCATTTTTATTGCTATAAGACATATAAGTAGGGAACAGGATGAAGTTGGAGCCATCTGTGGGCCAGCATTTTCATTTGATCAACTGACTTTATTTCGTTGACATCATAATGCTGTACGAATGTGTTACATACTCGAGTCATCCTGGGGATAAACTATCTCAGATGAAGTGATGTTCTGGAGAAGGGTACAACCAGAGTGAAGTTGCTGCTTTCTGCCCGTCTTATGGTATAGAAGCTTCCTTCTCTCTGTCCTCGAAGTGGAGCCAAGTGTGGTACTTTGACAATGTTGGCCTTGTACATAACAGTAAGGCCACCCACATCACTCCTGTGTTGAAGTCTCTGCTGAAATGACAGATCTATCCAGGATGGGTCCAGGCGAGAGATGAGACGTCTTGCTCTCTTCTCTACTCTGTCAAGCAGTCGCAGATGAGAGGGGGGGCCAGACAAACCAAGAAAGTGGAGTATACTCAAGGTGTGACCGTACTTGTGCCTCGTACATAATCTTGTAACCCCATCTGTAAAGATACCCACATGTTGCTGCTGTTTGCTCTGTTTCCAATATGTGTCCTGTTCTTCTGATCACCTCTTCCCTTTGCGACATTTTGCTTGGTGGTGGATTATATACATCACTGCCACTGCTACTATTACTTTCGTGTGTGTGGGCAGTACATTGCCTGCTGTATATTCCTTCAACTTTCCTTATTTCCAAGTTTCGTATTTCTCAAATCTCCAGTGGTTTCTAGTCATCAGTGCTGCTGCTACTACTACTACTACTACTACTATGTATTCACTTTCTCGTCTTAATGTTTGGTAGCTCTCTGGAAATATTGCATATGTTATTATTTCTTTGAATTACTTGTCTGTAATAGCTTCATTATCCTAGTCTTTCTTTCTTTTGTTAATGATACCTTCTACCACACTCTGCTTCTCCAATTTCCCACTGTTTTTATAGGTATGCCTCTTTTTTTTTTCACGAATGCCAATTCTCAACCAAGGACTAACCAGTGTTCTTTTCTCTCCCGGTACAGGAACAGAGCCATAAGTCGTATCGGCCGCTGTGTGTGTTGACCTTCCGTCTCAACTACCTGCTGCACGGTCTCGAACCACTGGGATATCACCTGGTTAACATGCTACTACATGGCGTAGTTTGCATTCTCTACTACAGGTCTGTAACCTGTCTCATACCTGTTGTTGTGTGTGTGTACCCCTCCTCTTTTTTTTTTTTTTTATCTGTATGTGTAACGCTGTTCGATCTAGTTGATGCCTACCCTTTCCACACACTTTCTTTTAATGTTACAACCTTCGTTTACGTATTATTCCCCTCTTAGGCACACACTCGGCTATTCTTGTTCTGGTTGTGTACCTTCTCCCACACCTGTGATTGTACTGTATGGTCTTTGGAAGCCTCAGGTGTGTTTCACCTCCCCCACTTGTTAATCATATTCACACGTCCGATTATTTAGGAGTAATTACATGTTTGTAGTTACCTATTTATCGCTACAAGAGCAGAACTGTGCTCATGATGTCCCGTCTTAAGTTTTTAATGTCCCTTCCACACCTGCTATTGTTGCAGGCGCTGTACATCTGTTGCTGCTGTTATGGGCTCTACATGTGTTGCTGCTCTTGATGTAGGTTTTCTACATCTGTTGATGCTGCTGTTTAGGTTCTACATGTAGTGGTGCTGTTGCAGGCTCTGTACAGCTGTTGCTACTGCTGTTGCAGGCTCTGTACAGCTGCTGCTGTTGCAGGCTCTGTACAGCTGCTGCTGGTGCAGGCTCTGTGCAATATTGCCTTTGCTGCTGAAAGGAAAATGATAAGCTGGATAACTAGAACTTTGAAGACAAAGATGCTGAGCTGTTGATATTTTTTAAGACTCTTGTTCTATTCCGACTAGAATACTGCTGTATACTAACGGCCCTTCAAGGCAGGTGAGATTGTTGAGCTGGGAAACGTACGGAGAACTTTCACTGCTCGTATGCTCTCAGTGAAGCATCTGAACAACTGGGAATGCTTGAAGTCCCTTGAACTGTATTCTTTGCAATGTAGACGAGAAAGGTACATAAAAATTTAAAGCTGGAAAATCATGGAGGGAGTAGTCTCAAACCTGAGCAAAATCACACAGAATTCCCCTGAAAAGCAGGGGCGCGACGAGTAGACTAAGGGAGGACTCTGAGTGTGAGAGGTCCCTGACTCTTCAACGCTTTCCCTCCGTGCACAAGGCAAAATAAAACAAACCTCTGGCTGTCTCAAGAGGGAATTAAACCATTTACTGTGTACAGTACCTGACTAGCCGGACTGTGGCTCGTATGTTGGAGTGTGTGCGGTCAACAGTAACAGCCTGGTTCCTTCAAAGAGAACTGGTCTAGTACCGGGCAGCGGGGGACGTTGATTGCTGGAAGCTTTCTTCGGGTATCTTTCGGGTATCGTTGCAAGTTGCGTGTATCCGTTGCTGCTACTGTGGCAAGTTCAAAACACGTCTTGATCACACGTCTTAGCTATTTTTCTGGTATTACCTGTTGCATACCTGTTTAGAATCCAAGCATCATCTGAGACCAGCCACGGCCAGATCAGTACCGTGAAAAAATAGTGAAATTTCTAGCACTTTCGTGATTTCTTACATTATCGAGGAACTGTAAAAATAGTAATATGTAATAGTATATGTAATATGTCGTGCCGAATAAGTAAAACTTGCGATTTTGGTTTAAATAGCAACGCACTTCTTGCTGAATAGGGCAAACGAAAATTTGTATATGGAATAATTTCTCAAAAATGATTCTGAAACTAACGAAAAAAAATAATGTTTCATTGTGTTTATTATTAAATTATTGTAAACTTGTTTAAAATATATTTGGTTGGATTAGGCTAAATTAAATTGTGCTTATTATAATAAGGTTAGGTAAGTTTCATAAAAAAATATATATCTTTAAATGTATAAATGAAAATTTTAGAAAGGACTTAATTTTAAACGAGTTCTTGCTAATTGACCAGTTTTACTTATTCGGCACGTCTTTATATATATTATATATATATATATATATATATATATATATATATATATTATATATATATATATATATATATATATATGCAGGACAGTTTTTAGCTCGAGTACTTTCACACTTCTCAGTGCGTCATCAGGAGCTGTGCAATGTTGCAAGGTAACAACCAAAGCAGGGAGAGAGGTCTCAGAGTAGCGTAGGTGTCACTGGTCACGGTTACCCTTAGACTCGTGTGTTGTGTGTGTGTGTGTGTATATATATAATATATATATATATATATATATATATATATATATATATATATATATATATATATCATGAAAAAATATAGCTTAACGTATCACATACTATGCTCTTCATTAAAGGTGCTATCAAGAACACAGTGTTCAAAAGAGTGACCATAACGATGGCCTTATACTTACCAATTGCTTTGATCATCGTCTGTGTATATGTCAGATTATCAGAAGTACTTGTAAACCATTCCTGAAGCTAGTTACTAGGAGATACGTCAGCCAGTCGATTTAAATTGTCGGTTGCTCCGTAAATGTGCTTATCTGTGTTCTGTTATCATAGTTATAGCTCTCCTTAGGCTTATCCGTGTTCTGTTATCATAGTTATAGCTCTCCCTAGGCTTATCCGTGTTCTGTTATCATAGTATAGCTCTCCCTAGGCTTCTTATCTGTGTTCTGTTATCATAGTTATAGCTCTCCCTAGGCTTATCCGTGTTCTGTTATCATAGTTATAGCTCTCCCTAGGCTTCTTATCCGTGTTCTGTTATCATAGATATAGCTCTCCCTAGGCTTCTTATCTGTGTTCTGTTATCATAGTTATAGCTCTCCCTAGGCTTCTTATTTGTGTTCTATTATCATAGTTATAGCTCTCCCTAGGCTTCTTATTTGTGTTCTATTATCATAGTTATAGCTCTCCCTAGGCTTCTTATTTGTGTTCTATTATCATAGTTATAGCTCTCCCTAGGCTCTTATCCGTGTTCTGTTATCATAGTTATAGCTCTCCCTAGGCTTCTTATCCGTGTTCTGTTATCATAGTTATAGCTCTCCCTAGGCTTCTTATCTGTGTTCTGTTATCATAGTTATAGCTCTCCCTAGGCTTCTTATCGTGTTCTATTATCATAGTTAAGCTCTCCCTAGGGTTTTATCTGTGTTCTGTTATCATAGTTATAGCTCTCCCTAGGCTTCTTATCCGTGTTCTATTATCATAGTTATAGCTCTCCCTAGGCTTCTTATCCGTGTTCTGTTATCATAGTTATAGCTCTCCCTAGGCTTCTTATCTGTGTTCTGTTAGCATAGTTATAGCTCTCCCTAGGCTTCTTATCTGTGTTCTGTTATCATAGTTATAGCTCTCCCTAGGCTTCTTATCCGTGTTCTATTATCATAGTTATAGCTCTCCTTAGGCTTGTTTCTGTATTTTTATGACATTCGGATTTATTTGCCTTCTATAATAATACTCGACACAGATAAAGTTATATGAAAGATCTTTTTTCGAGGTAATTTCGTTGGCTATCATCTTCGTCATGTAGGAGTAAATCAATGTGTAATGGCATCCATAAGAATTATACATTAATGCTTTTCTCTCGTAATATTTAATGGCTGTACCTTGCTTCTCCAAGTCATGACAGAATAGGTAATGGTCAAGGAGTCGAGCTCACTCTCGTAAGTCAACTTTACAATAGCAAATCACACGGTTTGTGATGTAGAGGCCAATTTGTTAATTCTTTTACCTAACTAAATATATCTACAATTCTTGTCAAATAAAAAGGCAGTTGTCGCCCTGCCAGTTAATTCATACTTAGATCCATCGGTGTACACTGTGACATTCTTCTTATAACAATGTTATAGATTATTGATTATACATTGCAGCGAATTTAGACTACGATGAATAATGAATGCCACAGATATTGGTTGCCGCTACTGTAGAGAGCATTAATTGTAGAATATGAACTTCAAAGTTTTAAAAACGGGTGTAACAAATACTGTTTATAGCAACCTTAAGAGTTAAGTTCAGTGGTACGGTAGTTCATTACAGACCCTCAGTTTTATTAATTGTACGTCAGGGTATGCTATTAATATTTCAGCAGGTGTGGATATTGTCGCTAGAGCGGCCGCTACCGTTTCGCCGCTGCTTCGCCGCTACTTCGCCTCTACTGTTTTTCTGCTACTGCTTCGCTTCTACCGTTTCCTTGCCATGTTTTCCCACTTTGTGACCTTCGTAGGGGGTCAAGAACCTTCGTAGGCGAAGCCGTAAGCCTTCGTAGGTGGTCACAAACCTTCGTAAGGGGATCATAAACCTTTGTAGGGGGGTCATAAGCCTTCGTAAGGGGTCACAAGCCTTCGTAAGGGGATCATAAGCCTTTGTAGGGGGGTCATAAGCCTTCGTAAGGGAGTTGCAAAGCGTACGAAATGCGAGGTTATCAGATCTCAGCCCAGGAAGGCAAAAGTCGCGCTAACTCCGTGGACTAAGAGCTCATCGTTGGCATCAAGGCTTTTCCCCTAAGAGCTAGAGAGCCGTGGACGAGATTGGTGCTTAATGCATCGCACGTAGATTAAAGTCACGAAAGTAATGTGACCCAGAACGTGAAATTAGTTTGTGTTTTGGCTAAGTGGCGATAATGTTAGTGGGAATGTCGTGTGTGGAGAATAATGTAGTGAAGGCTTGTTGTTTGTTACTGAGAGTGACTCAATGTTGCTGTGAACTGCTGCCCTCTAGGGTCGTTTCTCCTGCTGTTACTGTCATCTGCTGCCCTCTAGGGTCGTTCCTGCTGCCGCTTCTGTCAACAGCTGCCCTCTAGGGTCGTTCCTGCTACTGTCATGTGCTGCCATCTAGTGGCCACTCCTGCTGTTACTGTCAACTGCTACCCTCTAGGGTTGTTCTTGCTACCGCTACTGTCATCTGCTGCCATCTAGTAGTCGCTCCTACTGCTGCTTCTACTGATCGCTACTGCTGCCCTCTAGTGGTGACGAAACACACCGGAAGATTTATTGCTTCAAATCCCAGAAAGCTTTTATGAGGCAGCGGTAAATGGCGGAGTGTTAAGTGATATATTCTCGTGTTTGTTGGGCGTGGCACTGGGTCACCAGGGTGCCATGGCAGAAGGGGCCCAGGAGAAAAGGGGGGGCAAAGGGAGGGTGGGGAAGAGAAGAAATTTATAGAATCTCCACGTTCTGTGGATATATTTTGGGATTTATTCTTAAGTCAAACACCGAAAACACGATTTGTTTTCAGAAAGGGGAAAAAAATGATTTGCTTCTTGAGATTTGTGAAGTTTAAGTTGTTAATGTTGCAAGTGACACCCTGTGTGGCGCTTGTGGGTTTACGCTTAGTTTTGATTGCAGTAATTGATTGCAAGTAACAGTGTGGGGGAGGGGACTGTGATTGGTTGGTAAGGAAGGGGCATGAGGGTCAAGTTAATAATAGTCACAAAAATTACTACAAAATTTTTACACACACACACACACACACACACACACACACAACACACACACACACACACACACACACACACACACACACACACACCCATCCACCATCACAACACCACCACCACCACCACATGTCTACAACAGAGGTTACAAAGGTGTTCGGCTTCACACCTTGGTAACTCTGGTTTTGGCGCACCATTGTGAGTGGCAACAATTGAGGATCACCACCAGGACCGGTTTTAGAACGCGAGTTCACAATTAAGCCTCTCAACGTGACGAACTGTGCGGAAACGAGTCGAATTCGAACCCCTCCCCCTCTTCCCCTTGTCTACTCCCACACCCCTCTTTATTCTCTTTTCTCCCCTCTCTCCTGCATCTCGGCTGTCAGCTAGCTCTTGTTCTCACTCTGTAATTGCCGTATAGAATATTGAAGCAGCACTTAAGAGATGGTGAAAGTTGTCGTAGCTGCTGAACCATTTAAGTAATACTTGAGAAGATCCTCTTTGCATCTCCATTCAAAGCAGGTGAAATCGCAGATCTAGAGAGTGTACAGAGATCCTTTACTGCACGTATAAGTTCTGTCAAGCACCTTAACTACTGGGAACGCTTGGAAGCACTTGACTTGTACTCGTTGGAACGCAGGAGGGAGAGATATATCATAATCTACACTTGGAAAATCTTGGATGGAATGGTCCCAAATCTGCACACAGAAATCACTCCCTACGAAAGTAAAAGACTGGGCAGGCGATGCAAAATGCCCCCAATCAAAAGTAGGGGCGCCATTGGTACACTAAGGGAAAACACCATAAGTGTCAGGGGCCCAAAACTGTTCAACAGCCTCCCATCAAGCATTAGGGGAATTGCCAATAAACCCCTGGCTGCCTTCAAGAGAGAGCTGGACAGATACCTAAAGTCAGTGCCGGATCAGCCGGGCTCGTACGTTGGACTGCGTGCGGCCAGCAGTAACAGCCTAGTTGATCAGGCCCTGATCCATCGGGAGGCCTGGTCATGGACCGGGCCGCGGGGGCGTTGATCCCCGGAATAACCTCCAGGTAACTCCTGAAGTCTCCCAGTTCAGACTGACACATTTCAACACTTAAATCCATCATGTGTGATAGAATAGGCCAGGGAAACCTACCTACCTGCCAGGAGGCTGGCTTTTGTCCCCACTGTGTTGCTGTTATATAGATTAGAGTTTACCTGTGATGCCTACAGCCCGGGCTGAGGCCAGCCTTCCTTATTGAGAGTGGTCGGTCAGGTTGTTTGTGCTAGCGGCTCGCAGACCCACATAGTCCGCGCATCCTGGTTGATTCAGCACCTGCAGGAAGTTGTTGTTCAGCTTCTTGTACATAGTTGAGGGCCATGTATCCTAATGAAACTAATAATCTTTGGTGGTCCCACTTTCAACTCCTCCCATCAAGCTTAGACTGCAGCCTATAACTCCCCTCCTCAAAGAAGCCTACATCCTAAACACATGCGTCAGCGGCCAACATTTCGCTCGCTCCAACATAGCCAGTAATCCCCGACTCAGAGCCTGCAGAGATGCACAGCACTACTCTAAGTCATCCCGGACACTCCAGACTCTCTACTTGTCTCGCGCCAGCATCAAAGCCTTTCACCTCTAACCATCGGAGTCCTGTCACGATCCGCCCGGACCTGATCCCCGAATCCTCCAGCACACAGGTTCTCCATTCTCAACTACAGTTTCAAACTACCATCATAGTTCAATGAACTCCCTCACCTAGAATCCTACTGCTCCTTCCAGAGGCCATCCTCATTGTCCCTCACCTCATCTCTCTTGACTGCCGTACCTCAGTCTACCCTGACCGCCATCCTAGTCTGCATTCCCACCTCAGTTTCTCCGGTCCCTCCACCATATCGAGTCTCTCCATCCACTGCACCAGTTCTCTCATCCTTCTTTCATAATCAGTCTTTCCCGCACCCACTCTCCCTCCCACCTCAAGTCTCTCTCTCCCCACCTCAGTCTCTTCCTCCCCACCTAGTTCTCCCTCCCCCACCTCAGTCTCTTCCATCCCTCACCTCAGTCTCTCCCTCCCCACCTCAGTCTCTCCTCCCCACCTCAGTCTCTCCATCCCCACCTCAGTCTCTCCCTCCTCCCACCTCCAAATCTCTCTCCCATCCCCCACCTCTCTCTCTCCCTCTCCTCCCACCTCAGTCTCTCCCTCCCCCACCTCATCTCTCCCTCCCCACCTCAGTCTCTCCCTCCCCCACCTCATCTCTCCTCCCCCACCTCAGTCTCTCCCTCCCCCACCCATCTCTCCCTCCCCCACCTCAGTCTCTCCCTCCCCACCTCAGTCTCTCCCCCCCACCTCAGTCTCTCCCTCCCCCACCTCATCTCTCCCTCCCCCACCTCAGTCTCACTCTCCATCCCCCACCTCAGTCCTCTCCTCTCCCCCCACCTCAGTCTCTCCCTCCCCCCCATCTCTCGTCCCCCCTCATCTCTCCCTCCCCCACCTCAGTCCTCTCCCTCCCCCACCTCAGTTCTCTCCCTCCCCCACCTCAGTCTCTCCCTCCCCCACCTCAGTCTCTCCCTCCCCACCTCAGTTCTTCCTCCCCCACCTCAGTCTCTCCATCCCCCACCTCAATCTCTCCCTCCCCCACCTCAATCTCTCCCTCCCCCACCCTATCTCTCCATCCCCCACCTCAGTCTCTCCCTCCCTCACCTCAGTCTCTCCCTCCCCCACCTCAGTCTCTCCCTCCCCCCCACCCTATCTCTCCCTCCCCCACCTCAATCTCTCCCTCCCCCACCCTATCTCTCTCCATCCCCCACCTCAGTCTCTCCCTCCCCCACCCTTCTCTCCTCCCCCACCTCAGTCTCTCCCTCCCCCACCCTATCTCTCCTCCCCCACCTCAGTCTCTCCCTCCCCCACCTCATCTCTCCTCCCCCACCTCAGTCTCTCCCTCCCCCACCCTATCTCTCCATCCCCCACCTCAGTCTCTCCCTCCCCCACCTCAGTCTCTCCCTCCCCCACCCTATCTCTCCGTCCCCCACCTCAGTCTCTCCCTCCCCACCTAGTCTCTCCCTCCCCACCTCAGTCTCTCCCTCCCCCACCCTCATCTCTCCCTCCCCCACCTCAGTCTCTCCTCCCCACCTCAGTCTCTCCCTCCCCCACCTCAGTCTCTCCCTCCCCCACCTCATCTCTCCCTCCACCACCTCATCTCTCCCTCCCCACCTCAGTCTCTCCCTCCCCCACCCTCATCTCTCCCTCCCCCACCTCAGTCCTCTCCCTCCCCCACCTCTATCTCCCTCCCCCACCTCAGTCTCTCCTCCCCCCCCTCATCTCTCCTCCCCACCTCAGTCTCTCCCTCCCCCACCTCAGTCTCTCCCTCCCCCACCCTCATCTCTCCCTCCCCCACCCTATCTCTCCTCCCCACCTCAGTCTCTCCCTCCCCACCTCATCTCTCCCTCCCCACCTCAGTCTCTCCCTCCCCACCTAGTCTCTCCCTCCCCCACCTCAGTCTCTCCCTCCCCCACCCATCTCTCCGTCCCCCACCTCAGTCTCTCCCTCCCCCACCTCATCTCTCCCTCCCCCACCTCAGTCTCTCCCTCCCCCACCCTCAGTCTCTCCCTCCCCCACCTCAGTCTCTCCCTCCCCCACCCATCTCTCCCTCCCCCCACCTCAGTCTCTCCCTCCCCCACCCTATCAGTCTCCCTCCCCCACCTCAGTCTCTCCCTCCCCACCCTCATCTCTCCCTCCCCACCTCAGTCTCTCCCCCACTCATCTCCCCCACACCTCAGTCTCTCCCTCCCCCACCTCAGTCTCTCCTCCCCCACCTCAGTCTCTCCCTCCC